TGCGCCGTGCTGCTCCGTGCCGTGCTGCTCTGTGCCATCCTGCAGTGCTGCATCCCGCAGCGCTCCGCGCCGTGCTGCTCCGCGCCGTGCTGCTCCGCGCCATCCCGCAGTGCTGCATCCCGCAGCGCTCCATGCCGTGCTGCTCCGCGCCGTCCCGCAGTGCTTCCTGCCGTCCTGCAGTCAGAGCCCCGCGCTCCGCAGCGCTCGTGTACCCGCGGCGTGGCTGGAGGAAGGTGGAGGGCGGCTCGGTGCCGCTCGGCCCCGGCCCGGCCGTGCCCTTCCATCCATTCAATGCATCCACCCCACACGGTAAGCGGGTCGGGGCGCCCGCGGTGCCGGCCCCTTGGCTGTGGTGCTCGGCCCGGGCCCTCGGGCACCCCGCGGTGCGCGGGCAGCCGGGCTCGGGCCGCACGTGCCGGGGGTGTCAGGGCCCGTGGCGGAGCTGGGAGCGCAGCGTGCTCGGCACCGCAGGTCTGTGGGAGCTCGCGCTCGCTCGGCCCTGCCTGTCCCGTGGATAAGGGAGGAATTTGCTCTCTAAGGACGTTTGCACGTGGTAATTACATGGGAGCACGAGTCCTTCTGTGCTCCTGGGCGCTAGGAGTAGCAGGAGTGGAGCAAAGGTGCGGGATGTCCTTTGCGCACGGCTGCGTCCGCGGAGCCGCTCCGTGTTGCACTGGGCGCTCTGCTCCCGGCCCTGGGAGCCAGAGCAGCGCTGGACAGTGAGGAATGGTGCTGGAATTGCCCTCCCGGCTGCCGCGCTCTCCCGGGGTTCCCGCGTCCCGACTCCAGCAGGGTCGGGTGCTCCAGGGTCAGGTTTGCTGGGGCTTGGGCAGAGCCCTGAGGGGGGACCCTGGCTCATGTTCTTCTTCCAAACTTTCTCCCCCCAAATTCTGAAGGATTTGAGTCCACAGTTTGGGTTTTTTTTCCTGTCCTTAGTTGAACTTCTTATTTTGTGCTTTTTTATTTCAGCTGTAGGTTCATGTTTCAAATGCATCTGAGTGCTTGGCTGGGGCTGCTGGTGAGGGTGGATGAGCCAGGGGTGCCCTGGATGCTCCCAGGAATGCGCCTGGATCCCCGTCTTCTTTAAGGGGAGCTGCTGTGAGCAAGGAGGAGGGACCAGAAACTTCAGAGCCATTTTCTGTGTTTTAGGGCAGACCCTGTCACAACTATCAATCTGAGCAGGCAGTGAGCTGCTGACACCGGACAGCCCTTCTCTTTGGGGGCTGTAGCTCTGGGCTGTTTTTCTCCAAGTCCTGAGAATCTGACTCGTTTCCCAGGAGATGGTGGCGGGTGCTGGGCATGTGCAGGAGGACTCGTGCGGGTCCGTGGATGAGGCGCTCGGCTCTCGGGATGGGCGGCAGGGCCAGCCATGCTGTGCGTGGAGGTTGCAGCTCCGAGCCCCGTCCAGTCCCGTCCAACGGCTCCCACTGCCCCGTGCAGCAAGTGTGGGACCAGGGCGAGGGCCACCTGTGCATCGCGCAGCGCTGTCACCCAGCACTGTGCATCATCACCCAGCGCTGTCACCTGCAGCCTGCGCAGGTGGCTGGTGGATAGGGAGGACGCCGTGCAGCATCGCGGCTCGCAGTCCTTTGCAGCGTTTGTTCCCGTTTGCTTTTGCACCGTAGTTGCGCTCCGTTGGGCAGCCCGTTGGGACCGCACGCCCCGCTCACGCCGTGTTTACTCTCTTTCAGAAAGCGAGGCCAGGAGGGCGTGCGCGTGGCTGCGAGCGGCCGGCTTCCCGCAGTATGCCCAGCTCTACGAAGGTGAGGCCAGTCCCGGCGCGGGCTGCGCGCTGGGCTGCTTGGGGCTTTCTTGGCGGCAGCGCGTCCCGGGACGCGGAGCCACGCGCCAAGAGGCTCCTGTGCCGGCGGCTCCGAGCACGGAGCACTCTGGCTACGCACGGGCTCTGGGATGGGAGGGGGCGCGGGGGGGGGTCTTCTGGTGCTCTCTTCCCCCCGAGGCTTCCCCATCACCCCAGGGTGGTGACCAAGGCGTTCCTGGCTGCGCGTAGTCCTCTGTTGTGAATCTGAACTAAATATCAAGGGTGATTGCAGGGAGACTGGAGTCGGACTGGGTGTCAGGGCAGGGGCCCAGGCGGGTCGTGCACAGAAGGGGCATTTCCCTCCCTGCCCGCAGCTCCCGGCCGTGGTGCCCTCCCGGCTGTCATTTGGCAGGGAGGGCTGCACCTGTGAACATGAAGAGAAACCTCGCGTGGTGTGTGTGGGATGTGTGCGGATGCATGTGGAATCCATGCAGGATGCATATAGACACATGTGGGATGTGCACGGATGCGCGCAGGATGTGCATGGTTGCATGCGAATGCATGCGGGATGTGCACGGGATGCGCATGGATGTGCATGGATGCATGCGGGATGCGCACGGGATACACACGGGATGTGTGCACCGCAGGCCCCGCGGCAGCGCGGGCGGGTGCCGGCAGCGGCTGCCCCCGTGCGCGCTCGGAGCAGCCCTCGTGCCCCAGGTGCGGCAGCGGTGCCGGAGCCGCCGCGCGCGCTCGGCCGGCCGGACAATGGGCGGAAGCTGCGGCGGACGCGGCTATTGTTGCGGGGAGCAGCCGCTGCCTCTGCACGCTCCGGCCCCCGTGCTATCCCTGCTTCCCCGCTCTATTTTGGGAGCCTCCCGGCCGGGGCTGCAGGAGAGCCCGCGGCCCCAGGTGTCGGCCGGGGCGGTGCCTGCAGCTCCAAACAAGAATCAGGTGCTGCATGCTGGATCTATGAATAAACAGGACCCTTTTCCAGGCTCGCAGAGCAGAAATTTCCGCATCCTGTGGGTTTTTCGCTCTGTTTTTCCCCGCAGCTGGCTGGGCTCAGTGTTCCCTGGACGATCACACTCGGTAGCTTCATCCCCAGCCGGACACGTGTGTTAGTTGTCCGGGCCCCGTGTCGCTGCCCCACGCGGCTCTCCCGGGGCTGACGATGCGAGCGGGGCTTTGGGGAGCCCCCAGGTGCTTCTCTGCCCTGCTCCAGCTCACCTGAAAAATCCTCCAGCTCCGTCCCCGCGGCAGTAGCCCCAAGCCCGGGGTGGATGTGTTGCACTAGCTGGATAAGGCACAGAGGACGGGCACTAAAACACCTCTTGGGCAGGATCTGCGAGGTGGCCACTCTGCACAGAGCGCCGTGGGCCCAGGACACAGCCCTCCTGCACCCCTGCGTCTTCCTTCGGGATTTTATCCTGTGCTTTGAGCTCCAGGCTTTGTGCTCCGCATGTGCGGTGGGATTTGGGCTGTGAATGATGACGCTTCCACCGTGGCTGGGTCTGATCCTTGCAGGCGGCTTTTCTCTCATGTGGCTTCTTCGCCTGTGAGCAGCCTGGGGACACGGGCACCTCGATACCGAGCCCTGCCGGCTCCTTTTGGCTCTGCGGCCTCCCACGCCGCTCTGCTGCTCTCCTGCCTTCCTCCTCGGCTGCCCTGCTCTGCGTCTCTCCTCCTCTTCCTCCTTTTGCCATCTGCCTCCTCCCGCCCTCGCGCTGGCTCGGGACGGCCGGTGCAGGGGCCAGCTCAGAGGCAGTCACTCATTCCCATCTCTCCTCAGACGCGTTGTTCCCGCTGGACATCGCTGCCGTGAAGAGGGACCACAGTTTCCTGGACCAGGACTCGCTCAAATCGCTCTGCAGGTACCGCTTGCTACCCTGATGCTCCCTGGGGACCGTGGGCACAGCGGGGAAGGTGGCTCCTGCCTCCAGGCGTGACGTGCTCTGGGGTGGAGAAACAGCACCTGGAAGGGGCTGAACCCCATAGTTCATGGGTTGCTTGTTGATGGTTGGATGGTCTGTTCTTCTGAGTCTGGAAATGTGCTGGCTTGTTGGATAGAGTGTGATGGGAGGGAAACTGAAGTGACTGGAACACACAGGGCTCCTCAGGATCCTCGGGATCCGAAGGTCAATGGGACATGTTCTCCCCCAGACCTGTTTTGTATGGCTTTGTCTGCAAGGATGCTCGATAAGGCCTCTGAGAATAAAGCAGTCACAGCTCTGGAAATCACATTTCTGTGAGCAGGGATTTTACTCGGTTGTTTGCAAGGCAAATTCAGGTCAGGGTGCCTGAAATCCTCTCTGTGGACAGAGCTCCGCTTTGTCAGCCGGTGCTCCCACCCACAGACAAAAGCAGACGTGCAGCACGGGGTGTGTGAGCGGTGAGGGGTGCCGTGCGGGAGCTGCAGGCTGCCACCCGCCCCGACGTGCGGCTTTAGGGCTGCGGGGTTCACCGGTGGCTCTGCACGCTCGGGCTGGGGTTGCCAGGCTGAGTCTGTTTTTATAGGTTCGTTCTCATTCCCTGGAATAAACGTTGTGCTGGTTATTCTGACTAGGGATTTTTCTGTTAATGAAGTGCGTGGCTAGAGGCCTTCGCGCAGTTTGTGTGAGTAACGTTAGTCATCCCGAGTGCCTGGCAACAGCAGCAATGTGATATATTTTCCACAAAGACGCACTACTCTTTGCAGCATCAGGGTTGAAAATAGCTCCAAGAGATGCCACCGTGTATTTTTTTTGGCAGAGAATGTATTATGGTATTCTGGAGATGAGCTCTGTAAATGCTGCTGTCATCACCAAGCAAAAATATCTCCAAGAGGGAAGACTTGGTCCCAGCCCCGACCCTGTCCGGCTGCCCACGTTGGCTGTGCTGGCCTGGCCGCGCGGGTGACTCAGGTCCTGCTGTTGTGTTTTTGGAGCAATCCCGATGTCTGTGACCCCGCAGCGACTGCGCCACGAGAAACCGAGTGCTGCCCGTTCAGCACGGCCTTGCTTTCCTTCCCACGGGCACTTCTGTGCGAAGGAGAGGGCGAGAGAGGAACTCGAGCTGTTATTTATCACTTCTGCACTGCGGGGCTGCCCTGCTGGGCAGGGCGGCGGTGCCCCGATTTAGCTCCTCTGGGGCATTGCAAGATCGTGTTTTTTCCCCATTGCAGTCATAGCAGGGTGGGGAAGCTGAATCCCTTCCGAAGTGCTGGGTAAGGAGCCATTCCTGCCCCAGCTTTGCTGTCCCCTCGTCTTTGCCTGCCTGGCTGGAGGAGGTTCCCAGGTCGTTTTGCTCCCCAAACTTGGACCAGGTCCTGTCTACCTGCTTGTACAATCCCCTCCTCGCTGCCGCCTCGGGGCTGTGCGTGCTCCGATGGGATGCGAAGGACCAGGCTTCTTGGAACAGCAATGTCCCGAGCCACTTTCCAAAGCTATTGTACAGCCTTGAGGGTCCTCAATGAGGCTACAGGCAGCATTTGGCTAACAAAAAGCCCAAAAAGGGAAATTAAACCTATAGCCCTTCCGAGCAAATGAACCCCCCTGTACATATGTTCTTCTCCACGGGCACAGACAAGTTTCCCTGTCGCTCCCTCTGCGGAAGCTCACGAGTTGGAGCCCTTTGCCGAGGCGGCGGGAGCAGCGTGGGAGGCCGCTCCGCGGAGCAGGGCGCGTGTCTGACACTGCTGCTGCTCGCGCCAAGCCGGTTCCTGGCTTCCAGCTCTGCCCCCTGCTCCTGTCAGTCACATGAGTTTTCTCTCCCGAGCCCCGGTGCCTGTGGCGCAGCCCGGCCTTCCTGGGGACAGCCGGGTAAGCCCAAGGGGCTCTCGGTAAGCCTGAGCTCCTGCGAGCTGAGCCCCAGCGTGAGTGTCGGCCGTCAGTTTTGGGCGCACGCCTGTCCTTATATCAGAGCTGTTTTTTCTGCCCCCAGGCACTGACTTGCAGCATCCTGGAGGGTGCCGGGCACTGGGGACGGCAGGGAAGCCGTGGGATGGGATGAGCATGAGGTGCCTGTGCAGGCGCTGAGCGTGCGCCTGCCAAGCCCGGCCCCGTGCAGCAGGGCTGCCCGAGGGGCTGCCCGAGGGGCTGCCCGAGGGGCTGCACCAGGGGCTGCACGAGGGGCTGCACCAGGGGCTGCCCAAGGGGCGTTCATCAAACCGTGAATGAACGAACCTGCCTCTTTTCAACTCTGCAGGCTTGATAACTGCATGCTGGAACACAACTTGTGTTGTGCTTGTAGTAGCTCTTACGAAGCTGCTAATTAAGCTGAGGTAATTGGAGGTTCATTCACTTCGGTAAATAACAGCAGAAGGAAACAGGGCCTTGAGCTCTGTCCTGGAGAACGAAAGGACCGAGCACAGCGGTTCAGGGAAGGGTCGGCGGCCACGCGCTGCCCGGGCCCCTGCGGCTGCTCCGCACGGACACGGTGACTCACATCCCCATGGCTCCGCCGAGCAGCCGTCCCCTTCCTGCGGTCACCCCGTGGGGCGGTCTCGCTTGGATTCCTGCAGCATGTGCACATGAAAGTGCGTATTGAGAGCGCTTTGACCGTGTTTGTCCTTCCCCCGTGCGTTGCTGGCCCGCGCTCGGCCCGCAGCTCGGCAGGTAGCCGGGTGTGCGCTCGGTGCCGCTTCCCGCCCGGGAATCGTTTGCCGTGCAGCGAGCACGGAGCAGACGTGGTTCTGCAGGCACCCCAGGGCTCTAACGGGCTCGTGCTGGGCATCTGCCCTCCCTGCCGGGCTCTCCCTGCCTGCTCCGTAGCCGTTGCGCTGGCGGCTTCCTCCTGGAAACCGCTACCCAACAGATCGGAAGCGGAGCAGTAGATAAAGCCAGGGGGACTCGATCCGCCCTCAGCCCATGGCTTAGCTGCCTGCCCGGAGAGCCCCGACAGCAGCCGCGGAGGGGATCGTGTCTCCCTGTCCCACCTGAGCACGTAGTTAAGGCCGGAGCTGGGGAGAGGCCGCTCCTCATCCCGCTCCTGATCCTTTTCCGGGTCCCGCCGGAGCGGGGCCCTCGCGAGCCAGACTGAGCACGCACACACTCGTGTGCCGAGTGAAGACTGTCTGCAATGGGGCCTCTGCAGCCAGAAGCAGCCCTGGCATCAAACCCACTGGGTCACCGAGTCGCGCTGCCTTTGATCTCCTCGCCTGGAGACACTTGTCGCGTTGTGAGGGCTCCGCACTCATAACGTGAAACCAGAATGGCCCCAGTGTTTGGTGGCGCCGCTGGCGCGAGGCCCTTGAGGATCAAAGGGGAGAGGGGGTCGCTGCGCTGGGAACCGAGAGCCGCGCGGGTTACTGGGGGCCGCGGGGCTGCTCCGGTGGCAGCCGCAGAGCCCGGCTGCTCGCGGCGCTGCCTGCAGCGGGGACGAGGGCGCCGAGGAAGCGCCCTGGGGACGCGTGGCCAAGGCGCCCAAAGCATGCACCCACCTGCAGCCGCCTTTGCTGCTGCTGCTGCTGCGGGAGAGCAAAGGGGGCCGGAGGAGCTGCGAGCACACGGGCTCGGCCGGCACGACCTGCCCTTCTGATTGATGTGCTCGCAAGGGCCCCGCTGGCCTCCGACGGAGCACGCGTGCCTCGCCGTGCTGGAGCCGTTGGAAACCCCTCCTCGGCGGCTGTGCCGGGGGCTTGCGGTGACGCTGCCGTGCTCGGAGCCGCGAGGACTCCGGCAGCCCCGTCCCCTAGCCGGGTACACAGACCTGGCCCGGGATCGTGTGCTCCTCTGGGAATAACCTCAGAGCTGCCCCACGTGCGGCGTGTCCCTTCCATCCCCCAGTCCCCAGCTGTTTGGTGGCAGGTGACAATGTGCAACAAGAGCTCTTAGATGGAAAAAGAAGCCCCGCAGGAAGCCAGAGCCCAGCGCAGCTGCTCTTGTTTTCTTGCAGGAGGCTGATGACCCTGAACACATGCGCCTCCATGAAGCTGGAAGTCCACTTTCAGCGTAAGCAGGTACGTGGCGGGCTCCGCGGCGGCCGGCTCGCGAGCAGCGCTCCTCCTCCGCAGCGGCGCTGCCGGTCAGGGCTGGCGCTCGCTGGAGGTGACACCAGCCCTTCCCTCTGCCCCTGCTGGGGACTGAGCCAGCGTGGAGCTGGGGTGGAGCTGCCTCCCCTGGGAGCTGGGCAGGAGGCTGAGCTGGCGTCTGGGTTTTGCCGGGGCTGATGGGCTCGCTGCTCCGCAGCCCTCCGTGGAGGGCAGCCCCGGTGGCTCTTTACGCTCCTCTTTCTCCGTCACATTCCCAGCACCAGCTGGAAGTTGCCGCAGCACCAGGTGTCCTGTGTCGTGCCTGGATTTGGCTTTGTCCGTGCGTCCCGGGCAGGGTGGCCGGTGCCAGCGGTGCCGTTGGTCCCCTCCCGGGCCGGGGACGCGGGGTGTTTGCTGTGGGGTGTTTGCTCCGCCTGCCCCGTGCGCAGCCGAGGGCTCCCAGCGGCCCGCGGAGTCACGGGAAGGGCCCCGGGGGGGATGTTGTTCCCGCGGCCGGATCCCCTTCTGGGAGCACAAACAAGCGAAGGGGCGGGAAGAGGGGGCCCGCGGCGCCCCGGCTGCTTGTGCCGCGGCTGCTGCAGCAGCCCCAGGGCGGTGGGATTAAAATAGAAATGCCGCAGACAGAGGAGACGGCTGCTGGGAGGGCCGGTCGGGGCAGCCTACGCTCCTGCTCTGCCCTGTCCCTTGTTCTGTTTGCCACTGTTTTCGGGAAGTTGCGACTTTGGCCACCCAAGGTCCAGGGAAGCCCCAGCTTGCCGGCTGCGGTGGCGAGACCGACTGAAGGAAGTAGCCCGATGTTTCGGATACCTTCTCATGACCATCCTGCTTTACTGAAGAAACAAACTGTTCTGTGCAGATCCCTTAATGGGAAGCTGATGGACTGTGTTTTGGCATAAAAAAACCTATTGGCATATTAATAACAAACTTTTCATATTTCTCTTAATGAATAATACATGTAAAATGTACACCAGTTTAGTATTAAGCATATGGAAATCATTACATGGGTGTATTCCTACTTGTTCCAACTACCCTTGTTTTGGGCTGGGAAATCACGCTGCCTTGGACGCCCAGATCCCTTCCTCTGCCTCGGTTCGCATGCAGGAAGGGAACGGAGAACGGAGAAGGAGCAGCCTGTGCGGAACGTGACGGTGCCAGGGGCCGGGCAGGCATCCTCTTGGATGAATGCAGGAGGATCCAGCTCTGCAGGGTTTCCCCTGTCTGGTGTTTCTTCTCTCTCCACGCAAAGCAGCATCTCAGGAGGGACCTAAGTGCTCTGCGTCCTCCTCTGCTCCATCCTATCAGCGCTAGGGCAGAGCATGCGGAATGGGGTCGGTCTCAGGGATGGCTTGGCTGGACCTGGGACTTTCCTGTTGGGTCTCGGAGGCCTTGGGTTGAATCCTAACTCGGGGGCACTTTTGGTCTGAACAGATCTGTTGGAAGGGAAGGGCTGCTGTGTCGCTGTGTGCCTGGCTGGCCTGGCCCTGTCCCTGCTCCGACGTGACGGGGTGGCGGGTCCGGCGCCCCTGGGTGGGAGCAGCCCCAGGGCACCTCAGGCCGATAGAAATACACGGTGCGGCTGCTGCTGCGCTCTGAGACACAAAGAGCGTCTTCCGCGGTGCGCGGGGCTCGGCTGGGGATGGCGGGTCCCTCAGCGACCATGCTCGCGGCTCGTGCTCTGTGTGCTCCACTGCTCTGATTGTCCCCTGTTTCTGGACACCCTTAGAATGAAGACTCTGAGGAGGAAGACCTGTGCGCCATCAGCGACCGCTGGGCTTTCCAGAGGGAGAGCAAGAGGTGGTCGAGGGTGGGCTCGGTGGACGCGCTCTCGCAGGGCTCGGATGCGCCGAGCTGCGCGGCGAGGCAGGCGTCGAGCCGCGAGAGCGTCCTCACGGAGCTGAGCGCCAACCTGGAGGCCGTGTCCGTCCGCAGCAGCGGCAGCACGGGCAGCGCGGCCGGCGCGCTCGCCATCGCCGTCACCCCGCCGGAGCCTTCCCCCGTGCGCTGCGCTGCTCCCGGGGCCAAATCCAGCCAAAGCCTAAGTGACCATTCCCTGACAGAGCAGCCCTCGCTCCGGAGCGAGGGCTCCAAGGAGAAACCCCGGAAACGAAGGTCTCGCAGCTTCCTAAAGAGGATCGAGTCCCTCCGAAGGAAGGACAAAGACAAGACCAGATCGGAAGAGAAGGATGCCCCAAACTGCGGTGTCACCAGCACACTGGCATGGGACACGGTGAAGCACAATGGGGACCTTACAGCCGCCAAGGGCAGCTGCCCTAAAAGAGGAATATCCGCTTCTTTCCATGGCAAAAAACGCTTCTTTTCAGTGTCGTACAGGACTAACCGTGGGTCGGGCTCGCAAGGGGGCAAGGCGAGCTCGGACACCAGGCGCGGTGGCCTTTACCTGGAGGACCTGGAAGGGGCCACGGACAGCGGGAGCGCGTGGACCGGGGCTGAGCACCCGCGCCGCACCGTGTGCCCGGGAGACTGCCTGGTCTACGTCCCCAGGGACCACAAGCCGGGCACCTTCCCAAAGTCCCTCTCCATCGAGAGCTTGTGTCCTCTGAGCGGCGGCTCCCTGGCCGCCTGGAAATCCGGGAATGCCTCAGTGGGGCTGGTGGGGGGCGGCAGCAGCAGCAGCGTGGAGGACGCATCGTCCCCGCGCGCCTTCGGCTACCGGCAGCGCACGGGCTCCTGCAGCTCCCTGGGCAGCCGCCTGAGCGTCTACGACAACGTGCCCGAGTGCAGCAGCAGTGAGGATTTCTGCAAGGGGGATGGGGACGTGACGTACGAGAACCTCGATGACATATTGCAGCACATGTGGGGCTTGCAGCAGAAAGTGGAGCTCTGGTATAAAGCTGTTTCCCCTGAGCTGGCCGGGGAGGAAGGGGGCGAGGAGGAGGATGAGGAGGAGGAGACGGACTCTGGTGGGGAACCCGCTTTCCCCTCGAGCCTGCACCTCGAGGAGCAGTCCATGTCTGACGTGGGCACGTCGGCCAGCGACTTTGACAGCACGGGCAACTCCCTGAACGAGGCCGAGGAGCTGGAGATGCGGGAGCGGCGGGACTCGGGCGTGGGAGCGTCGCTGACGCGGCCGTGCAGGTGAGGGGCGCCGGGTCCTGCGCGGCTCACACCGAGCGCCCGGCGCATCCTGCCCTGGGGCTGGGGCAGCCGCTGTGTCCTGCTTTGCCTCGTGGCGGCAAGGACGGAGGGGACGCGGGCGCAGCAAGCGGCAGCCAGGAGCGCTCGCGCGGCCGCTGCTGCACAAGCGCTCGCGCGGCCGCTGCTGCACAAGCGCTCGCGCGGCCGCTGCTGCACAAGCGCTTGCATGGGCCGCTGCTGCGCTCTGGCGGCCGCCGCTTGCCGGTCTGCGCTCCAACACCTCTGCCCAGGCTGCACGCGACTCCTGCAGCCCCGGGCAGGGGAGGGCAGTGCAGGGCTGGTGGGGTGGAGGGACCTGGAGGCTGGGAATGTCCCCTGCCCTTCTGCGCCTGGGGACACCCTGGCAGGAGCCTCCCAGGGCGGCCGGGCTTGGGGACAGTTTGCAGCGGGGCTTCTCCCTCCCCTTGTGTCCCTGGTCCTTCGGACAGGGAGTGTGGAGAGCGTCCCTCCTGCCAGGCTCTGCTCCGCATGGGGCTCCGGCAGGTTTCCATCCTCCCGACACCAAGTCCTGCTGCAGGACGTGCTGCACCCCTGCTCGCTTTGGGAAGCAGAGGGAGCTTGGATTGCAGCAAGGGCACCAGGGGAGCTGCCCTCTAAAGCAAAAGATCTTGGTCAATGTCCTGCGTCCCATGCTGCTCCTAGCAATTCTAGTGGTTGGTTCATGAGCCCTGGGGTTGGGAAGGAGCCCGCACAGCCCTTGGGTGTGCGCGGGCGTCACTGCCCATGGGCTGCGCAGCGCGTGCCCGTGTCACCGCTAGCCTGTCCCCGCAGGAAGCTCCGCTGGCACAGCTTCCAGAACTCGCACCGGCCCAGCCTCAACTCCGCCTCGCTGGAGATCAACCGGCAGTCCTCGGCGCAGCTCAACCTGCTCCAGAAGTGCTCCCTGCTCCGCCTCACGGCCATCATGGAGAAGTACTCGGTGCCCCACAAGCAGGCCTGGACGTGGTGAGCTGGCGGGAGGCAGCGGGCGGGCGCCGCACCCTGGAGAGTGTTAGGGATGCTGTTCACTGCAAGAGTGGGTGGTTTTGTGTCACAGCTAAGCACTAAAGCACGTGGGCTTGCAGGATGCAGCGTGGGCTGCTCAAAAGCCGCTCTCTTGCATTGCAGCCCGTGCCTGCGGTGTGTGCATGTGCGTTCTGCGGGGATGCGGAGGGAGGGCTCCGTTACGCTGACGTCTCTGTGCCGTCCCCGCAGGACGGTGCCCAAGTTCATGAAGAGGAGCAAGGTCCCCGACTACAGGGACAAAGCGGTGTTCGGGGTGCCGCCCGTGACCAACGTGCAGCGGACGGGGCAGCCGCTGCCGCAGAGCATCCAGCAGGCGATGCGCTACCTGCGCAGCCGGTGCCTGGACCAGGTGAGGGGCGCCCCGCGCCGCCCCGAGCGCAGCACCGCCAGCGGGAAGGTGCCAAGTGCCCCGTCCTGGGGAAGGGGAGGCCGAGACCCTCCCGGGAGCTCCGTGTCCCCCGGCGTTCCCTCGGCCAGGCTCCTTCCAGCGCTGCTCAGGACTGGGGCTTTGCAGGGAAGGGGCTTCTCCTGCCTCCCAGGAGGGTCACCCTGGACCTTGGGGTGTTGTGGCCCCCAACACGGTCCTGTATCCACTTGTTTCTCACCGAGGACCCGTTCTTGCCCGGGCAGGTCGGCATTTTCCGTAAGTCGGGGGTGAAGTCGCGCATCCAGGCGCTGCGGCACATGAACGAAACCAGCCCCGAGCACGTCAGCTACGACGGGCAGTCGGCCTACGATGTGGCCGACCTGCTCAAGCAGTATTTCCGCGACCTGCCCGAGCCCATCTTCACCAGCAAGCTCACCGAGACCTTCCTGCAAATCTACCAGTGTAAGTGCTGCTGTAAGGGGCAGAGCCACGCGGACACGGGAGAGCACCGGGCTCCAAAGGGAGCCGCTCCAAGGCCGCGGGGCAGCTATGGGGCTGCCAACATGGGATGAAGAGCAGGGTCTCCCAGGGAAGAGGGGTCTCCGTTTTGCCCCCCTGCTGTGTTCGGAACAGGCTCATCGATCAGTTAACCCTGGGCTCGTTGATTAGCTAGTGTTGGGTGACTCCCCGCTGGGATGGGTCCGGCTGAGCCCGGTTTCTCCTGTGCCCTCAGTCGTGTCCAAAGAGCAGCGGCTGCAGGCCGTGCAGGCCGCCATCATCCTCATGCCCGACGAGAACCGGGAGGTGCTGCAGACCCTGCTCTACTTCCTCAGCGACATCGCCTCCGCCGAGGAGAACCAGATGACGGCCGGCAACCTGGCCGTGTGCCTGGCCCCCTCCATCTTCCACCTCAACGTCTCCAAGAAGGAAAGCACCTCGCCAAGGTGATGATGCTGGGGCCTTCACGACCTTCCTGCATCCCATGTCTGCTCCTTTTGGAGCTCTCTCCATTGCCCCTTCCCTGTCCTGGGGAGAGCAGGCTGCCCATTCCCGGTGGGAACAAGCCTCTTCTCGGCACAGTGCTCCTCTTCCCTGCTTGGCACAGCAGGAAGCCGGGGGGAATCAGGGTGTCTGGGTTTATCTCCCTGTTGCGTGGCCATAGCCATGTGCCCTCCTTCGCAGGGTGATGCACAAGAGGGGCACCATGGGCAAGCCCGACCAGAAGGACCTCAACGAGAACATGGCTGCGACGCAGGGGCTCTCCCACATGATCACGGACTGCAAGAAGCTCTTCCAGGTGCGTGCAGCTCTTCCAGGTGGGTGCAAAGGCGCCCCATGCTCAGGACATGCGTTCAGAGGGGCCGTGTCTGTCCCTCCTGGCCCCCTTGGCCAGGCGCGGAGCTGTAGCATCCCAGCTCAGCAGGACCAGTGATAAGGAGCATCCGGGCGAGGATGCCCAGTGGTGCCCAGCATCGGGGAGATGTGTAACTGGGTGGATAAGTACTGGCCTGCGCTAGCAGCATTTCTGCTTAGACCTTCCTCAATGCCAGGGCAGCAGAACCGCTGCGTCCTGCGCCTGGGGCCTCGCAGCTCACGCCTGCAGACCTGCCTGCCTTTCTGAGGAGCTGTGTGTTGGCTCTGCAGGTCTCGCACGACATCTTGCTGCAGCTGAGCAGCTCCTACATGGCGGCAGACGCTTACCCACATCCCCTGTCCGAAGTCCTGCGCCAAGGGGAGGGCAAGGATCTGCACTCCTATTTCGAGCAGAGCATCCAGAACCTGCTCAAAGAGTCGTCAGAGAAATTCAAGGGCTGGCTGAGCCATCCTGGGCCCCTCAACACGGAGCTCTCGTGCAAAAAGGTAAATGCTATTGTGGGAAAACATACATCCTGTGACCACAGGGAGCCATAGGCGCTTGCCGTCCTGCTGGGCACCCTGGTGCTTTCAGCAAGGGGAGATCAGCACCAGTAAAGCTGCTGACGGCCCAGTGCTATGGGGCTGCCAGCCCGACCCGTCCCGTTGTCCCAGCAGGTTGGGGACGGGCACCCGCTGCGGTTATGGAAGGTCTCCACGGACATCGAGGCCCCTCCGTGCGCGGTGCTGCACCGGGTGCTCCGGGAACGTCACCTCTGGGACGAGGACCTGCTGCAGAGCAAGGTGGTGGAGGCGCTGGACAAGAACGTGGAGGTTTATCACTACGTGACGGACAGCATGGCCCCCCACCCGCGCAGGGACTGCGTGGTGCTCAGGTGAGCGCGGCAGGGACCCGACCCCGCTGCCCCCGTCCTGTGGCTGTCACTGGCGGAGCAGTCCTGGTGTCGGGTGTGTGCACAGAGCAGGGTGTCTTGTTCTCCTGCTGGGCTGCGCCTCCATGCCAAGGGTCTCTGCAGGCACCTGGTCATTTTGGTGGCTTCCTTGAGGCCCTTGGTGGCTGCCAGCCGCACGTTGCCAGCGCTGCGGCGGGCGCTCGGTGCAGGGGCTGGCCGGGCTTGCACGTGTTCGCTCCGCGCCCTGGGCTCACGTCGCTTGTTCTGCGGCGCAGGCGCTGGTGCACGGACCTGCCCCGGGGAACCTGCCTGCTCATCTCCCTGTCCGTGGAACACGACAAGCTGCAGGTGGAAGGAGGCGTCACGGCCGTCGTGTTGACGTCTCAGTATCTCATCGAGCCCAGCGGCATGGGCCGCTCCAGGGCGACGCACATCTGCAGGGCTGATCTCAGGTACGGGGAGAGCGTGTGGCTCCGCGCGCCGTGACGCGCCAGGGTGCAACGGGGCGGACGGTGCCCGTCCTGGCAGCGGGGGTGCCGCAGCCCCCGGGCACTCCAGCCCCTCGCCCGTGTGGAGGAGGCTGCTGCGCCGAGGCCGTGGCGGGAGCTGCCAGCTCCGGAGCCACCAGCCCTGCGTTAGCGCCTGTCCCACAGCAATGCGTGTGGCAGTGAGCCCTGCAGCGCTGCTCTAGCTAGCGCGAGGGCTGAAACATGGTGTTAACCATTTTTCCCCAGTTTCAAGCCAAGCGCCGCGCAGAGCTCCAAGGGCAGGTGGTGCAAGGGACAGCCTGTTCATCACTGTGGGTTGCAGCAAGCCTGGCTGTTTCTTGGATCTTTTATTTTGCTGTGTGCCTGCAGGGAGGTGAGGGGAAGGCACGTTGCCTTTCCTATCAAACCGTGCCTGTTCATCATCTCGTAGTCCATGCCATAAAGAACTAGGCTGTCCCTGAGCTGGAAGTGCTGCTCTGCTCCTTGGTACTCGCCAGCAGTGACTTTGGCCCGCTCATGCCTCCTGTCGGTTGTTCTCTTATCCAGGGGACGATCTCCAGAGTGGTACAACAAGGTCTTTGGACATCTTTGTGCCATGGAGCTGGCAAGGATCCGAGATTCCTTCCCAGTGTTGAGTCCGAATGGCCCCGAGACGAAGATCTGAGGCCCCTGGAAGACGGACTGTCCTGACGGACTGTGGACTTCCCAGCTGATTGGGGCTGGAGCATCCAGAGGGAAGCGAGGAGTTGGCCACCTCCTGGCACGCGATTGCGGAGGGGGTCACGGAGGATGGTGCGCGCTCAGGCACATATTTATAAGTTTCCCTTTACCCAGATCCAGCTGCCCCTCTGAAGGAGCCACCTTCAGAGTCTGTAGCTCTGCACAGCCCCCTCCTCCTCCCCCTGCAGAGCTCTTGACCATGGCCCGTCACGGGGCAGGAGAAGCCCCCCAGCCCCTGCCCCAGTGGGTGTTGTTGCTTGGGCCGGCTCTTCCTGCAGGTCCCTGCGGAGGCAAAGCCGGCACGGCCGGCGCTGCGCAGGAGGGAGCCCGCAGACAGCGACTTGGGTGTCCAGGGCAGAGAGAGGGGCTGAGGAGAAACCCCCGGGGAGCAGCCTGTCTGCTGGGGGGCGGCGAGAGTGGCTCGGGGTGCCGGCCTCGCTGCGGCGCTGGGGGCAGCTCCCGGCGTTGGGCAGCAGCTCCCGGCGTTGGGAGCAGCTCCCAGCCTTGGGAGCAGCCGTGATGGTGCAGGAAGGGAGCAGGGGGACGCGGAGGCGCGCGGCGCGGGCATGGGGGAGCGGACGCTGTGCGCGGGGCCGAGGACACGCGGCAAGTCGCCTAGAGCGAGGACGTGCTGGAGGATGCTGTTAGCGGAGGAGAGGGGCTGTGTGTAGGTGTCTATACACCCTTTAATGACAGCCGTTGTGGAGGGGCAGGAGGAGCCTACTGCTGTTGTTGGTGCTGAGCTTCAGAGGAGAAGAATAAGGAGCTCTCCAGCGCGGTGCCTTGTTCTTACACAGCTCAAGGTCCCCGCTGGACCCTGGTTTTGGTGCTGGGCTGCAGGAGCCATGGGCCAGGCCCTGGCTATGGGGGCCAGGCCCCGTTCCTTGAAACCAGCCCCCTGGCTTCTGAAGGCTCAAAGTCCTGAGCGCTTGGCCTGAGAGCCACCTGGAAGCTGATGAGGAGGGTCGTGACCACCTAGAGCAAGAGGGGTGAGACCAGCCCTCAGCGGCTCCGTTCTGTGCTGCGCTTGTGGGGTCGGGATGCAGGAGGGCTCTAAGCCTGGCCGAGACACCAGAACCTGCGGGGTTTGGTCTTGTCCCATCTCCGTGCCCCAAAGCGGGCCGAGTGCTGGCCAGGCGTTGGGGACAAACGCGGTCTGTGCTGTGCCGTGGGGGAATGCCGCGGATGCGGGATGCGCCCTGCACCACCTTCCCTGTACCACGGCCCCCGTGCCCTCCGCACCAGCTTCCCCGTCCCGTCCCGTCCTTCCCTTAGCTGACAGCACCGGGAACTGACCTGGTTTCTCCTTTTAGGCAGGGACCCAATTACTAGACACTGCTCCCACTGGAAGGCAACACGACCCATTGCAGGAGCAATGCATAGTGGCAGTTTTGCTATAACAAATCATCTCTTTTATGGTGATAAAAAAACCCAACCACGCAGCTGTTCTTCTTTGTTTTTATATATATATTTTACATATATATATATAATATAACTAACTTCTGGGGAGAGTGATATTTCTCCTAATATTTTTTTAAAATATTTCTTTTTTTTTTCTACCTATAAATACTTGTACAGTTGGAATATTAATATATAACTCTGGCGGTAGAGCTCAGCGCCAGGTGACATTCACTTAAAAAAACATGTATTTTGTATTTAAGGGTCGTTTCTTGTTGTTTTGTGTCATATGTAACTGCAGCAGGTTGTTTGACTTGGACTGGGGTTGTTCTTCCCATCCGTGTAATTAATAAAGTACTAACGATATCTGCTGGCTGACGGGGCAGCCCGTGCGGTTAGTGGCTGCTGCTGTGTGCTTCCTCCCGGGAATGTTAAGGGATGGGGCTCGTGCTCTTGGTGGAGCTGCGGGATGGGCACGGAAGGCGCCTGTGCCCGTGCGTGGTGCGCGGCGGCCGCTGGCTCCGCACCAGCCCCTGCAGCCTTTCCTGGAAGGAGCTGGTGGTGATGGTGTAGAGGATGGGGTTCAGGGCGCTGTTGATGGGCAGGATGAAGATGACCACCCACGAGGTGACGGTGCCTGCTCCGGCAGTGAGGGCATGTTGGGGAGCCCGGCACGGCTGCCCCCGCGCAGGGAAAAGGGGGTCCCAGCGCCGGTCCTGGCCCAGGCTGCAGCCCGGTGCTGCGTCGGCGAGGGGCTCACCTGGTATTTCCACCTGCAGCAGCGAAAGCAGCTTGAGGAGGAAGATGGGGATCCAGCAGAGAGCGTCCGTGAGGACGATGAAGAAGAAGCGCTTGGCCACGGCCACCTCCTGCGCGCAGGCGCTGGGCTCTGCCGTTCGTGCCGCCGAGACGTGGATGGAGTAGAACATGCTGGTGTAGGCGAACACGATGGTGACGAACGCCACCAGATTCAAGCCTGAGGCGGGGACAAGTCAGCTGCGCTCAGGACTATTCCCCCTGCCCTCGCTAGAGGGGGCAGAGCCGCCTCGGTGCCTGCAGCGCGTGTGCGCCCGGTGCCGCGCACCCAGGTAGATGGCCGTGGAGTAGCCCCGCGCGCCGGGCCGCTCGCTGCCGTCCGACTGCAGCGGGAAGCACACGCCGTTCCTCCCGTAGTAGTTGCCGAAGGACTCCTTGCAGCACAGGGGCACCACGCTGAGGCACAAGCCCAGCAGCCAGATGCCCGCCAGCGTGCAGAGCGTCTGCCGCCGGCCGGCTCGGTAGTGCCCGAAGGGGAACACGATGGAGAGGTACTTCTCCAGGGTCACGTAGGTGAGCAGCAGCACGGACACCTCGGAGGAGAGCATGGCCAGGCTGCCCACGAGCTGGCACTCGAGGCTGCCCATCCAGGCCCGCGCATGCTTGTTGTACTCGCCCGAGTACTTGAGGTCGAACGCTCCGATAGTGAACAGGTAGATGCCCATGAGGCAGTCGGCACCTGCGAGGGGGGCAAGGGGCGGTCAGCAAAAAGCGCCTGTGTCCAAGCTGAGCCCTTTGCACCAGCACTGTGGCCATAGGGCTGCCACAGAGCCACTGTGGAGAGATGGAGAACTTTTCACGTCAGAGCTCTGTGTATTTGAGTTGCTGCTGCTGGTGCCTGTAGACCTGGCCTGGAGGGCAGAAGCCCGCATGGACATGGCCCAAAAGAACAGCAAGAAATGCGTATTTCAGCACAGAAAGAAAACCAGCAGCCAAGCAGCCCTAGATGCGTCTGGAGGCCCCTCTAGCAAGGCACGACCTGACCTACAGTCCTTGTCCTGGGAAAAGGGTGGCCCCGGGAGCAGTGGGGCTGACCCGTGTGTGCATCTGCACCCACTCGTGTGCCCTGCTTGTCCCCGTCCCGCCGCCTCCCCACTCACAGCACAGGGACTTGATGGCCATGGTGTGCTGGCTGTTGTCGGTGGCCACGAGGGAGCGCATGCCGATGACCAGGAGGTTCCCGAAGCAGGTGACGCAGGCCATGACCCACACGAAGACGCGCAGCACGACGCTGGCGAGGAGGTGCTCGAAGGAGGAGATGCCGTCGGTGTTGGGCTTGCAGCTGCGCACGTGGGGCGCGTGGCTGCAGTACTGGAACCGCTGGAAGTAGCTGCGGGAGGAGGCGGCAGCGCTGCAGGGCGAGCGCTGCGAGCGGCGCCCGCCGCAGCGGCCCCGGGGAGCGCCCGGGGTCCCTCTGTCCCGGCTAGAGCCGCGGCGCCTTCCCCTCTCACCTGCCGTCACCACAAACACATTGCAAAACCACTGCGTTTTGCAAATCTCTCAGGTTCCATTACCAGCAACTTGCATTTTCCCCGTATATTATTTCGCATTAATCTTTCAAGCCTCATAAAAGCAATCCTGTAGATGCTTAGCAAAGCTCTGCATTAGGAAATGACTACAGAACTGCAATGCATGGCTCGTTTCTGCCTAATTATAGATAAAAGGGGAGAAAAATGATTGCTTATTAGCAAGTCAGGTAGAAAATGTACCATATTGATAGTCCAAACAGCCCAATTACGGCGAGGGAGATGTAAAGGCGTCTCGTTACAGCTCCTCCAAAGGTGCAGCTGGAGGAAATTAGTGATTTTTCTCCTTTCCGAGGAGCCGCCAGGCCCTGGCAGGCGCCTCCCTGGCGGCGTTCCCAGCCTGCCGTGATGCCCGTCCTGCCTGGCTACCTGCTGCACACTCTGGGTCCCCATCGAGCAGAACGGGTCCCTATCACCAGCACAAGGCCCTGGATGGGGTTACTGAGCGGCAGGTTTCAGCACCGCTGCCCATGTTGGTCCCAGAGCATCTGCCTTGCGTGCCCCCGACCCCAGCCCTGCGTGCAGCACAGAGGGCTCCAGGGCAGAGCCCCTTGCCGCTGCTCCCAGCCGTCCCAAGCCCTGTGCGTGGATCGGGCGCCCCGTGGCTCTCGGGAAGCCCGGCCGAGCGAGGACCATGTCCAGGGAGCGACCGAGCATCGCGGGCGGCCGGAGCGGGTCCCCTCGCCCTGGGTGCACTCACATGTGCGAGAGGTTGGCCAGGCGGCGCAGGGTCACGTTGCCGATGTTGGGGATGTCCAGCCCCTGGAGGCTCCTGCGACAGAGCCGCGCAGGGTCAGCGGCGCCGGGACGAGCGGCACCGGGATGCGGGGACACGAGGACACTCACAGGGAGCGCAGCCGGGCCAGGCCCTCGAACTGCCCGGGGAGGATCCGCTTCAAGGGGTTGTAGGAGATGTTCCTGCAGGAGCGGCGCGCTCAGCTCGGCCTGCCCGGAGCGCAGGGCAGGGGGCTGGGTGGGGGTCTCAGTGCACAGGACAGGGTGCAGGTCTGGGTGCAGCACAGGGGGTCTGGGTGCAGGATGGGGGTCTCAGTGCACAGGACAAAAGTCTGGGTGCAGGGGTCTCCATGCAGGATAGGGGTCCATGCACAGGAGGGGTCTGGGCACAGGGGGGTCCCGGCGCGGTCCCGGCGGGGCGGCACCCCCTGCACTCACAGCTGCTCCAGTCCCGCCAGGCCGCGGAACACGGAGGGCGGCAGCTCGGCCAGGCTGTTGGCCGACAGGTCCCTGCGCGGGGAGCAGAGCGGGGGGTCGGGCACGGGGCCCGGCCAGCACCGTCCTCTGCTCCCCGCCCCGGCGTGCCCGCCGTGGGGCAGCTCTGCTCTGGTCAGCCCCAGTGCCCCTCCATGGGGCAGCCCGCGGGCGCACACTTACAGCTCCACCAGCCCGCTCAGCTGGGAGAAGCTGCCATCCTGGATCCACCGCAGCTTGTTCCTGCGCAGGATCCTGGGCAGCACAGGGCGAGAGGGGCACTTGGGACACGGTCCCAAGGGCCTGTGGACCCCCAGCTGGACACCCTGTTCCCCCACATCCCCAGACACGAAGGGCCAGGGCTTGGAGACATATCTGGAGAGGGACAGGTGGCTGGGAAAAGCCCTTTGCTGCGTCCCACAGGGCGTCAGGGACTCTGCCAGGGAGCACGGAGCAGCTGGAGCCCGTGGGACAGTGGGGCAGTGTCTGGAGAGCTCAGTGTGGGCAGGGAGCGTGGGCCCAGCGCAGCCCAGCCCGGTGCCGCTCGGCCCCGAGGCACCCGTGTACTCACAGCACCGTGACGTGGTGGCAGCCCCGCAGCGCCGCCCGGCGCAGTGCCCGGATCCCGTTGCCCTCCAGATCCCTGTGGAGGAGACAGCTCACGGCTGCAGCTGCCCGGCCTCGGCAGCTCTGTGGAATGGCATGGCATGGCATGGCATGGCGTGGTGTGGCATGGCATGGCATGGCATGGCGTGGTACAGCACGGTGCAGCATGGTATAGTGTGGCACAACATAGCGTGGCATGGCATGGTGTGGAATGGTACGCCACAGCACGGCATGGCGAGCTGTGCTGGTACTCACAGCCAGCTGAGCCGCGGTGCCTCGGCACACAGGGACGCGCTGGGCATGGCCGCAAGCGAGTTGTTCAGCAGGTACCTGGGGGAGCAAAGAGAGGAGTGGAGCCTTTGCCCAGGACGCAGCCGCTGTGCCAAGTGCCGAGGCACCGCGGGCAGCAGAGCCCAGGGGCACCGGCGGCCGGACAGGGGCTGACAGCGCCTGCCTGGCATGGGGCGCACACCGGCTCTGCCGGCACCCGGCCTGGCAGAGCGGCAGCGCTGCAGCCAGCGCATCCCTGCACTCACAAGAAGTAGAGCGACGCCAGCCCTGCGAAGGCTCTGGGGGCCACACGGCTGATGCGGTTGTTGTCGAGCATCCTGCGAGGACACGGCAGAGCCGCGCTGAGCCGCACACGGGCGGCCCGCGTGCCAGGGACACCACACATGGGCTCCCCACACTTCCTACAGCTTGAGGGCTGCAGCAGCCCCTCGCCATGGTGCCCAGAGCTGCCCTGGCACCTTCCTGGGCACTGTGGGAGCCCAGCTGGTCCAGTGTCCCTCAGCTGGGACCCTGCGGCACCCAGGGGCCCCTTGCGCTTGGTGCAAATGGGCTGCTCATTCAGGGAGCAGGGAAGGACTTGAATGTGAGCCCAGAAAAGGCACTCCTGGGTGCCGCCCATGTCCACAGGTTAGGAAAACTGGATGCTAGAGCTTTCTCATCCCGCCTTAGGGCCGCGCAGAGCAGGCTGCACGTGCGTGTGCACGTGTGTGCGTGTGCCATGCTGCCCACCGTGCCCCCTTCCTGCGGCACTGCGCCCGCTGCGGGCACCAGGACCGCCCACGTCCCTGCTCATGCTGCTTGTCCCCAGCAAGGCACTCACAGCCACTCGAGGCGCCGGAGGTCCTTGAAGAGCCGGGGCTTCAACTGCGCGATCCTGTTGTGGCTGAGGAACCTGCACCAGCAGAGGAGACACCCGGTTTCACACCATGGTGTGGATCCCACTGCCTTCCTGGAGCTCTTCCCTTCTCCTCCTCGCCCAGCCCTGCTTCTCGTGGCTCAGGCTCTGTGTGCTGCGTGGCTGGGGCGAGGGAGCCCCAACCGGGCTGCAACACGGGGAAAGGGCCCGACACCGGCTCCGGGGGGCTCATCCCCACGCATGGGCACACAGCGACGGGAAGAGGGGCAAGGAGAGCGAGGGCACCGGCGGAGCAGAGGGCACGGCCGCCCCCACACCTCTACTCACAGCATCTTGAGCTGGGAAAGGCCAGCAAAGGCCCGGGGTGAGAGTGAGTGGATCTGGTTGTTCTGCAAGAAGCTGGTGCAAAAAAAGCACAGAAAGGAAAGGGAGAGGGAGGGCGGTTTCTGCAGGGCGCCATGGCCAGGAAAGCGGCCGCGCGCACGGACGGGGCCGCCTCGGGTGCCACATCGTGGGTGCTGCATCGCAGATGCCACATCACGGGTGCTGGGCTCCTGGGCAACACTCACAGCTTCTGCAGGCTCTTGTACGCGGCAAACTGGTGGTCCATCAGAGAATGGATCCTGTTGTCCTTCAGGTCCCTGCAGGAGCAGAGGGGTGAGATAAGGACTCGGGGGGGCAGAGCAGGACGGGGCGCGAGCAGCGCTGGGCCCTTTAGCAGCGGGTCCGTTATCGGGTCCCCGAACGCCGCTGCTGCAGCTCGCTATGGCCACCTGCACCCCGGCACCGCGGGGCAGCCTTGTCCCCTCCCAGCAAACCCGTCTGTGGGGCGGCCCGAGCCCAGCACCGATCCGGACCGGATCCATAGGGAAGGGCACGTTGCCCGCTGCCCTGCAGCTACTCACATCTGGGTGGCGTTGGGGGAGGCGGCGGGCACGGCGCGGAGGCCCCGGCCCATGCAGTCCACGGTGCTCCCCTGGCAGCGGCAGCGCCCCGGCACACGCTCCAGCCCTGCAGCGAGGGGCAGCGGGATGCGCCGGGCTCCGGCACCGGCACCACGCGGCGCTGGCGGCCGGCAGGGACGCGGGGGCACCGCGGGATGGGGCTTACGGCAGGCGGGCGGCTCGGCGCGCGCCGGGGCGCTGCGGCTGCGCGCGGCCAGCATGTCCCCCAGGATGTGCAGCCAGCCGCTGGCGTCCACTGTGCGACGGCCAGAGCCCTGGTGAGAAGCGGCACCCCGATCTGCGCGCCCACTGCGTGCTGCATGCACCATTGTGCCCTCCGTGCACCCATCGTGTGCTCCACGCACACATTGTGCCCTCCGTGCACCCATCATGTGCTGCATGCACACATTGTGCCCTGCGTGCACCCATTGTGTGCTGCATGCACCATTGTGCCCTCCGTGCACCCATCATGTGCTGCATGCACACATTGTGCCCTGCGTGCACCCATCGTGTGCTCCGTGCACCCATTGCACACTTGGTGCACCCATCGTATGCTCCGCTCTGGCACCTTGTCCCCACGTGCCCTCCAAGTCCTTCCCTTGCCACCCCACCGAGACAGCGAGGCTCCGTCGGGGGTCCCCAGCACTGCCAGCACTGCCGTTCTCACTCTGCTCCCACCCCGAGGGCCCAAAGTGCTGCTCCCCAGAGGTAGCGAGCTCACCTCATCCCTTTCCAACCCGTTTTGGCCCCCAGTCCCGGCAGGACGGGCCGCTCTACGGGCACTGCCCACGCTGCCACTCACCGCAGTCGTCCTCGTCGGCGCCGTTGTCGCAGTCCCGCTCCCCGTTGCACTGCAGGGCCTGGGGCAGGCAGACGGGCAGGTCGCCGCAGGGGAAGTGCCCCAGGGGACACGGGCGCCCGCCCGGACGTGGCAGCAGCTCTGTGGAGGGGCCCGGGACGTGCTCAGTGTCCCCGTGTCCCCAGCCCCATGCTCGGTGTCCCCCACCCTGTGCTTGTTGCAGACAGGGAGCCCCCAGCCCGTCTGTGCAGCCATCCCTTCATCCCTGCTCCGCTGATCCCGGCCTGGCTGGAGCGGGGAGTGCCCTGCCTGTCCCCCAGGCTGCCTTTAACCACCAGGCTATTAATGGCTAATGGCCCGTGGTGCAATTAAGAGCACTTTGCAGCCACGGGACATTAAGCAGGGAGGAAACGCGGCTCTGACGCAGGGAGGGGACAGCCGGGGCCAGGAGTGGAGCCTGAAGGGGCTCGTCCAAGCGGCACGGCAAGGGGCTCGTGGTGCCGGCGTGGGGCGTGGGGTGGCAGGGCTGAGGCCGGACAGCTCAGCACAGCGATGCCACCGGCCGCCGGGAGCCACGGCGAAACACCGAGCACTTCAGCAAAGCAGAGCAGCGGTCACAGAGCTGCCCGCAGAGCTGGCGGTGCAGGGGGCTCTGCTGGGCCTTGGAGGTGCTGAGCGGAGCCGGGGGCAGGATGGGACCGCACGCCTGCTCCTGCTCCTGATCCCGCTCCTGCTCCTCTTCCTGCTCCTGATTTCCCTTCTACTCCCACTCCTGTTCCTGATTCCTCTCCTGCTCCTGCTCCTGCTCCCATTCCTGCTCCCACTTCTGCTCCTCTTCCTGCTCCTGATTCCCTTTCTACTCCTGCTCCCGCTCCTGCTCCTGCCCTCTCCTTTTTCCCCACTGCCATTAAGCATAGGGGAATGGCATTTCTCCACTGATTGTCTGCATCTGCAGCTCAGGCAATTTTCCACAAAACCATGGAAATATCCCCCTTTCCATGATGGCTGTTTGGTGCTGGAGTTATCAGCACTTGCGGGCTGTGTCCCGGCCGTTCATCTTCTGCAGGGGCCTTGGAGACCCCCCAGCCGTCCTGGAGATTTACGGGCACATCTGGGGTGTTTGTTCTGGGGGAAATAAGGGCTCTAAATCCCCACCAAACCAGCTGGATTTAGTCAACATGATCCAAAGTGTTAAAGATGTGGAGCAGAGTCCATGAATCCTTCCCCAAACCTGGAGCGCTCCCAGGGCTGCCTGGCAGAGCCCTGCATGGCTGCGAGCCGTAACCCAGGCTCGGAGCAGCTCCCGGCTGCACCGCTTCCCGGCGGGGTTTGCAGCCGATCGGGAGCGAGGGCCATTCCCAGCGCCGCGGAGCCGCGAACGCTACAGCTCCAGCCCCTTCCATGCAGGAGCTCCGCGCGGAGGGGCAGGCTCGGCTGCAACTTCCATGAACTAACGTGCTCAAGATGGACAAGGCGACGCCGTCGCGTGCAGACCCCGGCCCCTTGGTGTCCCTGAGCACCAGGACTTCCCACAGGGACAGCAACAGCGGGAGCCAGGCTGGGCACCCCGATCTGCTCCCAGCAGCACGGCCGGGGCTGAGCATTTCCGTACCAAGAGCTGTGCCTGGTTCTTAAAACACCACAAGCCCTGTGCCGGCAGGGCACGGCCGCAATAAACAGCGTCAGCGGGCACAGCCGGCGCTGCTCAGCGCTCCTCGGGCGATGTGTTTTTCTCAAGGCTGCAAGGCTATTTTCAGACAAGAGCATCACTAGTGACATGTGCTGGGACTGCAGATCCCACCCACCCAGACTTTGATAAAAATCCTCATAAAATTTCCCTGCAGCCCCCCAGCAACACAGCCAAAATCTCCCATTTCCTCCCTGTTTTGCAGGTGGTGACCTGAGACAGCCACTTACTGGCAGCAGCAGAGAGGAGGGAGAGCAGGAGGCCCAGGAGCAGCTTCATGGCAGGAGCCTTCATCCCGGGCAGGGAATCTTCTGGGGAATCTTCTGGGCTGCTGAAAGCGGAGAGGGAGAAGGGAAAGGGGGGTCTGCAGGTGCTGCGGGTCCTCTGCTGCTGACGGGCACTGGACCCGCGGTGGAGAGCAGCAGGAGGAGGAGGAAGGGGCTGCTTCGTCCCCAGGAGCTCTGTTTCTGGACAAGTCAAGGCTTCGACGAGCCAGTGGCTGCTCAGATGCGGTGGGAGCCACGGAGCGCTGCGGGGCCGGAGCTCTGTGTCCTCCGGAGCCGCGGCCGAAGTGCCGCTAATACCGGCCGTAAAACCAGCAGCCGGAGCGGCCGGGGCACGAGGGGCGGCTCTGCGCAGGAGCGGCCGCTTCCCCGCGTGCCCGGAGCCACCGGCAGCACCTCTCCAACGGGACGGAGCCTTCGGACGGGGCAGCGCCCTATTGCGGGGTCCCGCTTAATGAGCAAACTCCCACCAAGGCTTTGCTCCATGTCAGGTCCCTGCACTGTCTTAGTAAAGATCCAGGAATGTCCTTTCCCCATCATTTTCAAATGTTCTTTATGGGTCCCGATGATCTACACAAATTTAACCCATTCCCTAACACTGAAAATCAGATTTTTGCTCAGAGCACCAGGCTACTGTCTCCTCTCATCAACTTGTGGTGTAATGACGCACATATTCCCCATTTTGCTTGAATATTCCTACTACACCTACAATTGTCAGTACACTTAAAAGAATTCCTATCAATTCATTTTAAAGGACAGAGCAAGTATTTCTACAGAACACCCACAGTAGGTCTGTGGGTGCTGTGTGGTCGAAGAACACGATGGATTTTCCTGCTTTGTAGCTCACTGGTTATGGGAGAAAAGGCCTGGCCGAGGAGCAGGACCCCAGTCCCTTCCCAAGGTAATCCCCCTTGGATTGCCATTTGTACTGAGGTACACTTCCTCCACTTTTTCGGAATTTTAAGGAAATGGGATTCCCAGAAAGCAGCCTTCTCTTTCATCCCCTCCTTCCCTGCAGCCACGGCTCGGCTGCTTGCTGGGGCACTTGCACGCGAAGCGGACGACAGCTTTCTAAAGAGAACGTCAGGAAATTCCTTTGCTTCTCAATCAAATTTGTTTAAGATCTAAGAGCACTTTGAAGCTAACAGCCAGGTAGGGCGAGGGTGGTGAGGGAAGAGGAAATCAAAGAGAAGCAAGATAATTCATTTTCTCAAAGACGGAAAYAAGCCGTTGGGAAAACAGTTTTTGTGTGTGCAAATCTTAGCCTCTGCAGAGGCTGCAATGCCTCTGCTAGCGTTTAAAGCATTGACTTTGGGCTTGAAGGACGGATGGGCTCGGTGCTACAAGACAAGCTGTAGTTCTCCGACTGGTGCATGCGTTCCTGGAAGCCAAGATGACAGATGGGCTGACTGCAAAACCTTAAAGGCTGCTCCCAGGAAAAGTAATAATCARAAAGTAATTAAAATGTGTTTCAAGAACTATCACAACTCCACCGTGCTTTACCTTGGCTGGTAAAGGTTGGGGTGAAGGCTGGCCTCCTATGTGCAGAGGGATCCCAACAGGGGAGACCTTCTGAGTCCCAGAAAGGAAAAACCAGTGAAATCAGGCATAGGCAAAAATGTCATAATTTGGAAAAGTGACAGCAAACAGTTTCTTCTTTAGACTCCTCAGGAGGAGCTTTCTCAGGTCCTTGCATGAAGTTGTATATGTGCACCAAGGAAGAACAATTTCTGGGAAGTGACAACATGACRTGAAGCGACGGAGCCCAGCTGAGAGGCCCGACTTCAAGCCTCTCCTCACGGTGCAGATGTCTGGAACCGGATTTTAGTTCACTTGTGGGCAAAAGGAGGAGTTCTGGCTAGCAACATCTTGCAAAGCCGGGAAGCTGCAGTGCCAGGACTTAGTTGTTCGTTCTCCCCTCCATCGCTGCGGGCAGCAGTGTCTGCCCCATGCCCATGTGTCTGTGCTTTTTCCTGGAACGCTCCTGCTATCACAGTATTTTTCAGCTTTATTCTCCAACGTTCCTCCTGGCTGTCAGCATCTTTGCACCAAGTTTGTGTTTCTTAATGTGAGCTTTGTTAATGGGCAAAGAATTTCCCCTCGTGCCCTTTGGCCGCAGTGGCCGCGCAGCTCTTGGGGACGCGCCTCCCACTAACGACCCGGATGATGGATGGGCGCTGGACACCACCACGTGCATTAAACCTCTGGGCTACAAGGCCCAGCAATACATTATGATATAGGGCCCCGAGTGGTTGGGAGAGGACTTGTGCAATTGCGTGGCACAAATTTATATCCCAGGGTCTGAAACACAAAACATCTCACGTCGCTGCACAGCCGCTTTCCAAGGGGCCTTTGCTCCAGCACAATCATGCAAAAGAGAGATTTTCCTGTCAGGAGTTTTCTTTGTCATCTCCCTGGATAATGTTACTTTTGAACAAATCAGGCCAGCTTTTCCCTTTTACTTTGTTTTCCACTGAGATAATTTCTCATGCCAAATCCCTTCATTCTTGCTCAATTCCGACTTCCCCTGTGGTTTTTCTTTTTTCCTCTTTCATTCAAGATAAGTCTCTGTCCACTCCTGAGGCCGTGAACATCGTTACAGGCTGATTCCCCTCTCCCGTGGGCTTTGAGCACAYTGATACCAAGAGCACGTGAGATGACTCCACAGGCCAATCCTGCCCTTGGCTGCACTGGGGCATTCCCGAACTCGCCGCGTTCCCAACGGGTGACACGTCATCGCGGAGCAAAGGGGGTTCAGCGTCTTCAGTGCTGCAAAACGTGCAACTGGCAGAAGCAACGAGGAAAGGGCAGCAGATGAGACCCGCACAAGGGCACGTGTGTGGGGCAGGGCTTCGAGGGAGGACTCCCGGGGGTCCTTCCCATCGGTGCGGTTGCCAGCTGGCCGGCTCCGCACTCGCTTTGGGACCCGCTAACCCCGCAGGGCTTCTGTCTCGTCCTGTAAATCTCCACTGAAGGGCTCTGCTCCAGCCCCTCGACCACATTGCATGACTTCACAGCACAGAACCACGAAAAGGCAAAATGTCTGATTTCCACTAATTCCATTTGGGCTCTACTCCATGTTGATGACTTGATTTTGGGCTGGGTCCTCCAGATTTCTCCCTCTCATAGAAGAGTGCTCTCAAGGAGAAAACATTAATGAAGTGGGAGGACATTCTGCACACTGCAATCTTGGCTGGGAAGACAAGAGTTGGAGGTCAGGATGTGGCCTCCACAAATGATACGGGATTTGCTAAACGTCAGGTCACAGGAGAGGGGCTGGCCAGACCTAGCCCTGAAGTCTCATCCAGAAGAAATATTTTATTTCCTTTTTCCCCCAAAACTCTCCTGAGTAAGTTTTATACCTTGCTTTTGACACAGAAGGTAGTGAGATACGGAGCTCAGATCACAGGCCTGGCTGGATGGACATCCTCGTGTGTTTCTATGATAGGCTGGACAAACGCGGCCTCCCTTCCCCTCTGCCTCCCTTTACTGCAAGGAGGAGGCTGGGAACATTCTGGAGCGCTGGGATAAGGCATGTTCCCTTCTAGAAATTAGCTCCTAAGCAGGTGGGTTCAAGACAGCAGCTTCCCTATGGATCCCAAGAGGTTTTGGAGGCTAAGAAGTCCCGGAATATTCACCATCACCTATCTGCTGATGTTGAGCCTCAACAGGTCAAGAATTCATGGACCTGGGACAACTTGCCTGAGGAAAAACGTAACAAAGATTTGAATGAAGGCTTCGAGTTCTGCTGTAATCACACCAAAGTTTAAACTTTACATAATCAATGTGCTGCCCAGACCAAAGCTTTCCTTCATGCTCAGCAATCGTGTTTGGGAGCTGATTAGGGCCCTACCTTGGGCTTCCTGAAGAACATGTGCCAGCAACACCCCCGGTGGCTCTCGGTGCCCTCGCCCGTGTTTGCTCAGCGCTCGCCGTGCCCGCTGGGCGCCCTCCGCGCCGCCTGAAACCCTTGTCACTCGCAGAGCCAGTAAAAGAGGCTAAACACTTCTGACGGGAACTTGTTTGAAAAGTCTCCACTTGGAGCTGCACGCCCAAGCTGCCCTGCTCCGGGGATGAACCAGAAAGTTATTAATTATTCTGCTCTGGAGCAGATGTTTATGTGTTCGAAATTACTGGGGAACTGAGTCACTGCTTGGTTTGTTGCCAAAATCTGGATTGTAGCAACGCAAACGTGGACTTGATGTGGAAGGGGGGATCAGCGCACGGCTGCACGAGCAGCCGGGGAGCGTCCCGTGCTAAAGGGTCCTAAGGGACGCGCCGAGAGCTGCTGCTCTCCCAAAGTTTCACCCACTTCAGGTCTGTTTTAAAGCAACTGAAAATGACAACCCAAGCTCGACCAAATATCAAGTCTAAATCCTTGATTACAATTAATAGCCACCCCTGTTGCCACTTGGCTTGTATTCTCCCTGTAAAGGAAAGGGGGATAATGAGGTGAATAACTAGAATAGCTGGGTAATATTGCTAGGCTGGAAGCGGTGGTGAATGGGACAGCAGATAAGAGACTTTAAAAAGAGAGACTTAAATCATATCCCTGCTCAACTGCATCAGAACAGAAAAAATGCTCCTGATAAAGAAAGAGAAGTTTGGGAAGTAAACAGCATTTTTAGATTTCCTGTGAGTAGAATGCAAGTGCAGCTGCGTGTGCGCCGGGGCAGCGGGCCGGGCCGCGGGGGATACTGGTCTCCACGGTGCAGAAGCGCTGCGGCGACTGCAGCTTCTGTCGGCGGCACTCGGCCTCCACAGGGCATTGCCCACGCAACGGGGTTGCGTGAGGGCTAAGAAGGTGCCAGCCGGGGTTGCTGCCACGCCGAGACCCGAGGATCCCTCCCTGCACTGCCGTTCCCGTCTCTCCGCCTGTGCTAGACACATGCGGCCGTGCAGGGAGGAAGACTGCGGTCAATTTTTGGTAAAGGCCCCATTTGCTGTTCATAGTTTGGCTGCTGATGAAGCCCTTATGTTCCGATCCCACTCACAGCTTTTGTCCTCAGTTCCTGGTCCTGTTCCTCGGGATGCCTTACAGGCCGGGGAGGCTGCCACAGGCCCTGGCGTTCGGGCTCTTCCCACCAGCTCCAGCTGTTCGCACATTCCCACAGGTTGCCCCAACTCACTCCCTGATTTTTGCAGCCCTCAGTTCTGGTCAGCAATTTAGGGTAATCGACAGAGGAAATGTTGCATGTCCATGACTAGTCCTCCCTGCCACTTCCTTCAGTCACTGATATATTATCTGTAACCAGACTCTTAAAATCCTCCCTCTCCTCAGACTGATGGTAAATTCTTCACTGACTGGGAAGGAAAATTCTCCTTACCAAGTAGAAAGTCTGTAAATCACTTTTCTTGCTGAATTTCCTTGCCCAGAGAATGAATAAGCAGCTGAGAGCAGAAAGACCGAGTACGAGGGAAACCACAGGCCAASCACCGACAAGTTATTTTATCTTACTTCAGATTTACAGAGGAAAATTGCATCTCCCGAACCTCCGTTCCGTGCGTTGCAGCCGGGCCGTGATCCCTGCGTGTAATTGGCGGCGGTAATTGGATTTTGCCTCCCGTGCGAGGCGCTGGTGCTGGCAGTGCCTCGCGCCAGGGAGGATGGAGCCTTCCACAGTGCTCTGTCTTAGGGACTGCCAGTGATGAACTAATTAGCAGAATGAATTAAGCCGGGG